GTGTGTGTGTCTCCATAAACTACTTGTTTCAATAATCAATCAATAAACCTCTAATAATTCCCCGAGCTAGTCGTCAACTTTTACACAAACACCAGGTGTTTGATAGATTTTCGAGTTTGTATTTTGCAGTCCAATAATTACGAATTTCAGATGCTAAGCTGGATTGAAAAACCACATGTATAATAAAGGCTGTGAAGAAGTCTGGAAAATCCGGTTTGGAATCGTCTTTTAGTTAAGCATTCTTATTCACTTTTTATTTGTTGAGAATAACGATGTGAGTTCTGAAAGCGTAAATAGAAAGACTTGGGGCGTGGATAACATTAAGCTTTAGGAAAGGGCCTGTTTTTATTTTGCTGGGATTTATGCAGGGGATATGGATTCTGTACGTGGTAAAGTTCACAAAGAAGTTGGCATGAGCATATTAAAAAGTGGGTAGGCTTGAAGGAGATAAAAAGACGATGTAAAATTGGGCTGGTTCTCTTCAGGAATTTTAGGCCGCTGATATCATAATTTTGGGCGAGGAAGGATTCCATCTTTTTACCTGAAAAGGGGAGGGAGTTTAATTTATTCGGGAAAATACGGAATCCTAAGTCCCAAATTAAGACAAAACGGTCATTCTACACAACATGCATAGACAGTGCACGTAGTTTTTGTGCCTCGTCGGTTCGCAAAATTTAATTTAATTAAAAAAAACAGAGGGCGAGCATTTCATTTTTTTGGGGGGGGGGGGGGGGGGAGAGCAAAGAAAATTGACTTTGTCCAAAAGTGACCATGGAAGGGGATTGGGTTTTGTGGCTGCGATCATGGGCATGGTGGTGTGTCTTGTCCATGGGAATGAGGTGCCCTTACTATCAAAGCGGCATTGCTTTTAACATGAGCCCCTCATGTGTGTCCCTTGACCTTTAGTCTTTTACCCTCCGCAAGACAGCCGCTTCATGCCTATTTCCTGGTGGGTCCCACTTTTCCTATTTCATCATTTGTCGTTTCCACATACAAACTTCAGTCCTAAATATAAAATGTAATTAAAAAAGGTATGTACATGTGCGTGTGTGTACATGTATTTACCCACCGCGACGGCATGGACTCTGGAGCCTGATCAGTGACTAATACAAATGCATAGTTTAAATCACTTTTAATTTGATATATATATCCACAGCAAAATAAGAATTTAATTAGAAAAAATCACAAGAAAAGACTTTGAAAATTAAAAAAAAAATGTAAATAGAGACCCGTTATAATATTAGTATTGGTTTTGACAACAATTGATAAAAAAAATGACAATAATTTGTGAATGGTTCTGGCCACATGTTGGCGACGTGATACTTCTATAGTTTGATAAGTTTGGACAAATTCCAGATAAATGTTGGCATGTATGAGTAAGGTGTTTGTATAGTTTGACCAACTTAAACAGAATAATTCAGGACTGGTCGGTGACAATTCCAATGCAGTTCAAAAATTTCATTCCCGCACTAAAATTAGATCTACCCATTACATTTGAATTCTAATAGTTTTATTTTCTCTTGCTCAACCCATGCCACTTTTCAATTTCTGAGGGCTTTTCTCTTGTTATTTTACCACTTAATTATTACTTTTTCTTTTTTAAAAAATACGTCTTCAACTGGAAATGTCAAAGAAATCAGATGATTATAATATTATGCATACGCATGCAAGAAGTAAAATATCAGGCGGAGGATCCATGTTCAGAGTTGCTTTCGTTTCGGCGGGCTGGCCGTGAGTGGAACTGTTATTCCTTTATCTCCTTTATTCCAGCCACTTAAGAATCTAAATAAAGAGATTCTCATTAATAATCGATAAAAAACGAATCTAATAAAGTTTACAGAGTCACGGAATGAAAAACCTTAGTTTTGTTTATCACCAACCCAAAAAAAAAAAAAACGCGTCTCTGTCGTATATTTTCGTGGTTAGGCAATAGATATTGTTTTCGTTTTGATTTATCTTCTACACAATACATTTGATGCTATGAAAATAATCCTAACCTCAACAATTTACCAAAACCAGTAAAGAATGACTATAGATCTATTGTTCTAACTCATCATTCGCACGTACTTTTGTTTTATTTAAAACTCTGGACGCTCCAGCAATACGAATCATTAGTACCATTTCTTAATTTATATTTCAAAGCATCTTTATATCATCTTTTTATATGCTCCTAATCAGGGATCACATAAATTAGTTGATTTAACTTTTGGCCGAGATAAATAAACAAACAAATTCGTTGATTTGGCCTCGTCGATCTACGAAGAGTTGGAAAATATAAACTTGACAAATTACAAGCACGGATTGTTACAACTTTTTCCTCCCCTTTTTTGGTATTATCGATAAAAACTTTTTGGTTGGCCTAATGGCCAGAGACTTGGAACCCACTCCCCTCACTTTTGTTCACTACTAAGGGGGGAAAAAACAGCTAATTGGCTCATATCTGAGAGTTCAAGGGAGCGTTTAAATAGAACCTAAACTATTATTTTAAAAGTATTTTTAGGGTATACAAAATACATATGTAGGAAATTGTCTCGTTTTGTAAAAAAATACTTTTTACTATTTTTCTTTAGTGACAGACACCACCTAAATCTCGTTATTGTTCGTGACCCAATATTATCCATCACGAGATGTTTTTGTGGCAATAATTTATCATGCCTCTTTTATTAATAAAATTTTAATTATAAACGTTTTCCCAATTTTTTTCTAAATAAAAAAGACAAGAAAAAATCAGGAGAAAAGGCGGGGCATAAAGCAATGGTCCAAACCTAGCCTTTATACGGGGAATTGATCAAAAGGAGCAAGGAGGTAAGCCGCCTTCCCAAGAACCCCGTTTTGCGAAAACTGACATTGAGAACGACGTCGCGGAAGATGAGAGGGTCCCACGGTCACCGCCTTCGGCCTGGTCTTCACTGATTGTGGGATGCTCCTATTCCTGAAGCGGGCCCACTCACATGCCCTTTTGCTTTACTTATTCCGCCACCTCACCTCATTCTCAGGCTTCCCCTTCGCATCCCAGCTTGCAGCCCCCCTCCCTATTCCTCCTCATCGTCTTTATTCTCTCTGTTTTCCCCCCCTTTTCAGCCCTTTCTGTTTTATTCTCCTTCCCCTCTCCCAAAGTTGATTTGTATCCATTACGTACACAGGCATATTTTATTTTCTCTTCTTTCTTCATCATCATATGATATGATATATATTCCATATTAGCTGGACCTCTAAGAGCAAATAAACTTTTCAACATTTAACATTTCAAACCGGTTGATGAAAGTCAATCGTTCTTCAATGAGTCAGTGAAAATAAATGAGTCTCCTTTTATTTGAGCTTTATACTTTCAGACTTGAAATATGAATGAAATTAAAAATATGCATATAAATACGTTAAGGAACGATAGATGCAGCGCGGGTTGTGCCTTGTAATTTTATTTTACGTGCCTGAAAAAGGAAAAAAGAATTGCTGGAATGGAATGTGTTGTTCATCATGTGAGCATAACTATATTTGTGGTTGCGTGCGTGTGCCTTACGGATTTGGATTATCTTAGAATCTTTTTTCTCATTTTTTTCCTCAGTATCTGATCTCCACCATTGGATCAAATGATGAATGGTTCAGATTTTATACTTTATAAAACCAGTATTATAACATTACATAATAAATAGAAGAAATGGGATGGACATCTACTTTTTAAAATATTAAATCTGAACAATCTATTATTTGATCTAACAGTGAAGAATGAGATTCTAATAAGAAAAAAAAAATTCGAAGAGATCCAAAAACGTGATTCACCGGGCACTGCATTATGAAATAACAATTGGGTTCAGAGACGAGGCCGACAAACTTCCACAGAAATTCTTAACGGCGTTAATTGATATGATTAGGAGTAATGATGCGCCTCAGCAAAGTTCTGACCAACATTAGTTAGGCTTGATTTAACCACAAGACTGCCCAAAATACATTATAAGGTTCGGCCACGTAAATAGTTAAAGTTGTAAGCTATGATTATGTACTTATTTTACCTGGCATCCATGATCGCGTACGTACTCCTGCCGTCCCTGTGCCTCTTTCCCTCCGCAATCGGGTCACACGTTTTCACATTTAACTGGAATTTTAAATTTGAATATCTTCAGGTTTCGATTAAAAAATCAACCATTATTAATAACGATCTAATACTATTTACGCGGGTTATACATAATTTTTTTACCAAAAAAAAAGGTAAAAAAATTTATCTTGGCATCGTTGTATCATAATGCGATGGTCGATATTCCTCGATTACGATTAATTGAGGGATCGAAATCCCTAAAAATTTCACATTTTTTGTTAAGAAGGCATTAGGAGGAATAACCGCAAGAAGCAGGCACCCGAAAGTCTGAGAGCCATTTCTGTATAAACCCCCGCTAAATCCACACTTCCATTCTTCAGGGTCTTGTTCTCTAACCAACACACTCTGGAACATTCAAATTAGAAGCTGAGTTTTAACATTTACCTGTTAGACAAGGAAACATATCCTCTCATACGAAAGAAACAGGCGGAGAGATCAGAAAGAAAGAAAACTCAGCTCAGCTGTCCCAGAAAAAGAATGATTTTTCATCTCGATCTTTAGTTTTTTTTTTTTTTTAAATTGTTATTTTTAAATATCCTCACGTGCTGTAATTATATTAATATAATAAGGAGGTCCATTTTAGTAACTTCGCTCACCTTCCCATCAAGGGTGCTGAACCTCCCCGCGACCCTAACGATCAGTCCTCCTGACTTGTGAGCCAACGAAACCTCCTTCGGCCATACCTTCCCCCGACACCCCCCCCCCCAAAAAAAAAAAAAGAACTACACACACTGTTTCTTCTCTCTCTCTCTCATTTTTTGGGCCTTTTTCTTTTTCTTAAGTTATTAACATATTTCCACGTCAGGTGGCCTATAATATTGCCACGTAATCGGGAGCGCCTTTGTGCGCACAACTTCCACCTTTTGGTGGAGCTCTCCACGCGTATATATTTTAACTCGCCCATAAACCTCTCCCTGTGAAAACCAAGCCTCTGCTCTTTTCCTCCGGAACTAACCCAGTACCGCCTCCAAACCCGACTTCATTGGATCCATATTTATCTTCCCCAACACCCATTACACCCGATTTCTCATACCATCCTGCAAAATCCTCATAGCTTAGCCAGGAATTGGTTTCCAAATTGCTGTGATGCCGATGGCGGCTGGGCTAACATTGCCGACCGATCACGCTCCTCCTATGGAACCTACTATGGTGCCGATGCAATCAACACCTATTATGGTTTCAGACTCCTTTGCTAAAGATGCTATTATTTCTTGGTTCCGCAGTGAATTTGCCGCTGCCAATGCCGTTATTGACGCTCTTTGCGGTCATCTTGCTCAGCTCAGTGCAGCCACTGGAACCTCCGACTATGAGTCTGTTTTTTCCGCAATTCATCGCCGGAGATTGAACTGGATACCAGTCATACAAATGCAGAAGTATCACTCAATAGCCGAAGTGGCGGTGGAGCTTCGCAAAGTCACTGAGAGGAAGACAGAGGCCACAGAAAAAAGGCAAGATAACAGCAAGAGTGAGGACGCGAACACTTGTTCCGAAGACAAAAAGAAAATAAATCATAAAACAATGGATAGTGATGGAAATGGCGGTCACGAGGCTCCCGACGAGTACGATTCGCCGGAAAGTGAAATTACCGATACAGGTAATTACATAGAACTGATGATATTCTTCTTTTCTGGGTTTTTCATTGATTTAAAAGGTTTCCTCCTGTTTCTCGACATTCAATTATCGGAACACTATGTTGTAGGCAGTTAGCTACCACGAATGTTGGGATTGATTCGGCATTTACGGCGTTTTTTTCTTGGCAACAGCGGTGTATTCCATTTCTCTTTTTATAGCTTTTATTTTTTAACCTTTTGAAATAAAAATTCTAATATTCCATTTTATAAAGCTTTGGGGTAAAAATTGAGCTTTCCTGACTTTTTAAAATCAAGCTTTGGCTTGGGTACCATTTTCATTAAAATGGGGGCAAAGTAGCCGGTTTTTTTTTGGGGGGTGGGGGTTTTTGTTTTTGGTTTTTTTTGGGGGGGGGGAGAGAGAAGTAGATGAGACTTCAATGTTGTTTGTTTGGTGGGGATTCACAGATTGCGTGGTGCATGGGAAGAAAAGCGTGGAAGATAGACATATCTTTTTTTAATAACCATAGAAGAATTTTTTTTAAAAAAAAGATGGAACTGTTTTTTTACCCAAAAAATTTCCAGTTTGTTCCTTCAAACTGTTAAAATTTACTATTTGTTTAAAAAAAAAAGTTAATATTTTAGTCCGTATAATTTTGAGAATAACAGGAAAAGATATTAGCTTGAAAATTTTGAAGGATTTTTTTGGAAAGGCGTAGAATGAATTAGGTGGGTACGGTACAGAATAAAGATGGTGGCAGGAATGGCATCCACCCCAAGGTTCTGAACTAGGCATGCCTAGAGGCGTGTGCCTTACAGGCGGCAGCCGGTCAGAGCTGTGTCCTGTTCACCATGAAGTGACCTGCCTGTTTCCGCCGTTGTGGATTCGGGCAATCCGGTGGGTACTTGGGTTTCCGCAATTTGGGTGCCATTCCCGATGCTAATTCTATGAATTTGTTTGACTGCTTATCCCAGACGGCGGGTCAACGCTGTCGTTGTTGTTAGTTGGAGATCCTAGAAATCAATGAGCCACATTTTGTTTGGCCGAAGTCATGAATGAGCTGGATTGGCTAGTGAACAAATTGAAGATGCAAAAAACAGTTTTTTTTTTTGTTTGCCAACTGAAAAAAATCAGTTAAAGAATGCATTTATTGCATCCAAATATGGACACTTTCATGTTTCATTGTTTTTGTTGGCTGCATTGAGGTGGCCCTTTTGGCATTATACTGAACAAGGGACACAATCACCCACGAGGACTTCGTCGGAAGACGGCAAATATATGTATGATTAATCATTGAAACTCCAATTTTAGAAACATGACTTTCGGATTCGTTGATCTTCCTAGACTCTTTGAGCCGCATAACCTCCTCTACCGATTGAGATCGTCGCAGTTATGGGATGAATTTTATTTTTTTAATCTGACTTGTGGTTAGTCCTTCGTTCACTGAGTGCTGAATGTTCCATGGCGTTTTCTTTATATTGGGCCGGCAGGATCTCAAGAAATGCAAGCCAGTTTGATGAACAGCAGTATATGCTCCAACCACGAAGAATGTGAGGGACGTAGTTCCCAGATAAAGTTGACAAAAGGTTTCTCGGCAAAGGAGTCGGTGAAGGGGCACATGGCAAGTTCTATCTTTCACAAAATTCACATGCATTCTTTTTAGTAATGAAGCTTGGATTCGTTTATGCAATAAGAAGCAGGTGGGTATTGGTGAATTGGCAGGTGAATGTGGTGAAAGGATTGAAGTTGTATGAGGAAGTTTTTACTGACTCAGAACTCTGCAAGCTCTATGATTTTGTCAATGAGATCCATTCTGCTGGCCAGAATGGAGAACTCTCAGGTAAACCAACTATAGCTGAGTGATTCTTCTCGTTCTAGAATGTGAAGGGAATCACGATAGTGTTCTGTGTCCAAGGAAATTACTAACTTGATCTTGTTGGAGAATTGCAGGCGAAACTTTTATACTGTTCAACAAGCAGATGAAGGGAAACAAGAGAGAGCTGATTCAGCTTGGTGTTCCAATTTTTGGACAGATCAAGGAGGATGTAAAAAGTAGGAATTAAACGATTTCAAGTTTCTCTTTACCATTATTACCAAGTTGTGATTTGGTAACCAGGTATTACATTAACGACTCCAAGTGATAGGATAGTCTGTAATCCTCATTTTCTTGTTGAAAATTTGTGTATAGGTAATATAGAGCCAATTCCAACTCTTCTTCAAAGTGTTATTGATCATCTTATTCAGTGGAAACTGCTTCCAGAGTACAAAAAGCCAAATAGTTGTATCATCAACTATTTTGAAGAGGTAAGTATTGCATACCCTACCCCTTAGTGTGGCTATCTCTAAAGTAGGCATAATAATAATTTGTTACGTGCGACCCAATAACGATTCAGCATTGTCCATACAATCAATTTTAGGGAGAATATTCTCAGCCATTCCTCAAACCCCCTCATCTGGACCAACCTGTGTCCACTCTGCTTCTCTCTGAATCAACTATGGCTTTTGGGCGTACTCTTACTGGCGACAGTGAAGGAAACTACAAGGGGCCACTCATGCTCTCACCGAAGAATGGGTATACATTTAAGAACTCATACTCTTTTATCCCCATAATCATGAACATTCCTGCAACTATGATGCTTAGCTTTATTTGGATGATGACAACTCATTTACAATCAGATTGAGAAGCATTCCAACATTTATGAAATGAGCTCACGCTTTAGAATTCAACCAAGGCACATTCATTTTTCTTTTTCTTTTTTGTGAACTAAGCCATATGCATTTGAAGTTAATATATTTAGCGTTTAGATTCCTTAATGCCTGCGTGTTGGTTTTAGGACTTGTAGCTTCAGGCCATTCAAGTTCTATTGAGCATTTGGCCCCAACTTCCCGGAAGGGGCTGCATCTGAATATTCTAAAATTTGACGCCTTTTTCTTTATTATGAAGCTAAAATACGCATCACTGGGGTTGTACACTTACTTTATCATGTGTGGATTGAGTTTTGAACTAATGACAATAGTGTATATTTGAACTTTAATTTGCAGGTCTCTTATAGTGATGAGAGGGAACAGTGCTGACATGGCAAGGCACGTGATGTGCCCATCTCCAAACAGAAGGGTCAGCATCACATTTTTCAGGGTAAAGCCAGACTCCAACCAAAGCCAAACACCAATTCCTTCCATGGCAACCACGATGGGTGTTTGGCAACCGGGAATAGCCAGCCCATATGGTTTGGCAAATGGAGCTCTCAGTGGCAATGAGGCCATGGATATGATGCCCAAGTGGGGAATAGTTCGTGCCCCAATGGTAATGCTAACCCCCATGCGCCCTATGGTGTTGAGTTCTCGCAAGCTTCCTCGTGGTGGGACAGGTGTCTTCTTACCTTGGAACATGCCTTCCAAAAAACATGCCAAGCATCTTCCTCCTCGTGCCCAGAAAGGACGCCTTCTAGCGTTACCTCCCCCCGTTGAGCCACAATCTCACATGGAAGAGTCCACTTCTGATCCAACCTTTGCTGTGGACGCACAAGTTTGAATTTAGTTTGAAACAGCAGCCTTAGGTTCAACCGAGTATGAACCGAGGAAGGTGGTGGCTTAGTTTTATTTTCATGTACTAATTGGGCCCGGCTGTTGTTTGTTGAGTTTCGTTCTTTCTTTTTGTCTTCTTTCGGCTCTTTTATTGTTAAGTTAGGTTGTATCAATGATCATAGTAGCTTTCCTTTTTAATGGATTTCAATCACGGTACCAAGAGCTTCGGAGTAGAGATCAGGTCTCAAATTTGAGTTAGTGTGAATCATCCTAGAGGGTAGAATTTTGTATGAACTGTAATTTTTGTTAATCTGCTTCTGAAAAAAAAGTTAAATCACCATCATGATGCATAGTTATGATTATTTAGCTCACCCTTCTTTTACTACACGACGGGCTCACTCTGTGAATGAAGTTTCGAATTATTTGAAAGAGGGGATGCCATCTATGTACACAATGAATAGCTGGGAATACAAGACCACTGAAGAAAGATAAGAAAATAAGTTAATTATTGCCATTGTGCTAAGTTATAAGGCAGTCGCAGATTTGGTTTTTTTGCATGAACAGTGTGCCAGTCTCTGTTTATATCTGGAATAATTCCTAGCAACGCCACACTTACATTCTTGCCATGATTCAACAACTAATAAGGCTTCGGTCAACAGAACCATTAATATGGCAAAAATATTTCTTTAAATCAATTTATAGAAGTTGAATTTTTTATTGTGAAACAGAAAAACAAAATCTTGTTTTAATACATTCAAAATGAATGTCAGTATATCGTTATATGCTAGTACGATTTAAAATCAATGCATTCTTTAGATTGTCTATAATATATCGTTATATTCCGCAAACAAGATAATCATTGTTGAATATAATGCTATTAATAGGACTAAGCTATTTGAGCGCCTTTTTGCCTTTAACTGTTAAATCATTCTGTTAAGATAACCTCTAACCAATATTAAATGTTGAGGTAAGACCGGATAACAAAATTTTTTTTATAGATATAGTTTGAATGGGTAATATGAGACTTGAGAATGATTTGGAAATAATTAAATTTATTATAAAAAGTTATATCTGATATCATCAATTGAATCTGTTTATTTGTTTTCAGGTCTTTTTTGGAAGGTATACTGTATATTCACTTCATAAGCACTCCTACAAAATGGAAGATAATACATCCTATGGGGAAAGAAAAAGTTGAAGTGAGAAAAATTGTGTAACTGCAATTGGGCTGAAAAGAATGTACAATCTATCAAGATATTCAAATAATAGGATAGATATATAAATAACATCTCAGAAGGGACAAAGAAAAATCAGGACAGGGTTCATGAATATGACAACGAAGTCACTAATGCAAAATGGCACTACCATTACCATCATCCATGATGAAATGCTTATGATTTTTCTATATCCAAAACAAAAAGAGAGAGACTGAGAGTGAGAGAAAACAATTTCTTTTTCCCCCAAGAATCATCCTTTCCTTTTGGAGTACCTTGAATGAACGACTTCGAAAAAAGAAAAACCACCATAACGTGATCTCCCTTTCTTCCCCACCAAACTGCAAAATGCTGAGCAACCCGCTCAATAAAGTCATATGGGACTAGTCTAATGAGAACTGTCAAATGAATTATGGTCACTTGCATCTCTCCCGCATCATTCTTTAAAATTAAGATCTTTTTTTTTTTTTGGGTCCTTTTTGTCCTTCCAATAATCTAATCAATGCTCCTCCCACCTGAATTCCCAGGATCATTCCTCCAAAGAGTGAGTGCTGGAACGGTAAAGATCATAAGGTGCCCAGAGATGATCAACCGTGCAGGGCTTCCTAGAATCCAGCCTCAACCATGGCTTACCCTTTCCACTCCAATGTAGCAAACTAATAGGACCAGGATGCAGACTCCTACACTTGCCTTCAAGGTTGTCCCCTCCTAACCCATGTTGATTCCACCTGTGGTCCACCGCCTTTATATCGCCAGCCAAAACCAGCAGAAAAGGAGGCAAAGACCCCAAATGGTAAATCCTCTTCTGCTTCTGCACATCCATCCACCTCTCCACCTGCCGAGTATAATCCCCTTCCCTCCATTTCTCCACGTCCACTATCATAACCCCTGTGTTGAAATAGCATGGGTTTCGACCCTCAAAGGCGCGAGACAGAACTGCGTCTGTCCAGAACAGGTCCGTGAAGTAGTTGGTGAAGTTGGCATGGCAGTACTCGGGCGCCGCCACCACCTTGCCCTCCAAGTCAACCTCCCAAAGCTTCGCAATGTCATCCACAACGACGAGGTCGGAGTCCAAGTATATAACCCGATTCACGTAACTAGGGATAATATCAGCAAGGTAGATTCTTGCATAGTTCAAAGGCTGGTCCAATGCTTGTCGGATAGATTTGGAGATTTTCCCACGCACCCTGCTGGAATCGAAGCGGTAAATTTGGAATTTGAGGTAGGGGAAGGTGGTTTTGATGCTGAAAAGGACTTCAGGTTTGAACCTAGCCCACAGGAAATGGAACTCTATGTTCTCAGGGCAGGTGGAATGCTGCAAGATGGAGAAGACGGCGGCCATTGTGCCTCGGAGATAGTTAGAGTCCAATGTCATGGCAATGTGGATCTTCTCTGCGTTGCAGGCGTCCCCATTACGAAAGGCCGGGGCTTCACGAAAACTGGGGACATCGGGGGCGGGCTTGAGGATGACTCCAAGGCGGATGGTGGCGGCGGCGGCGGCGTTGAGGACGAGGAGGAAAGACAGGAGGCCGATGAGGTGTTGGGCTGGGGCCGGAAAAGAAGAGCTATAGGAGGCCATCCTGTCCCCAGTGGCGGGAAATGGCGGGAGGGGCAGTCAGGGAGCAAAGAGAGGCTAGATCGTGGGAGCCATTGTTAGTCTGGTCGAGACAATGGCCACAATTCATTATGATTCATTCCATTAAACGGGAGGAAAGCTGGTTGGTGGGGATTGTAAGGAAGGGAACAATCCTCGGAGCCTCCCTACTCTCTACTTTCAACCGTGTTTCCATTATTGATATTTTGAACCAAATAAGCTGCGTCTCTAAATCTTTCTGCTGATCATCTCCCTTGATTTCTCACTCCAATTTTTTATTTTATTTTTATTTTAATATATTTTCCTCCCTCGCAGGATTTTCTGTATACCCTCCTCCTCTGGTGCCTAAATTGTGGGAGCATGCAGATATTTAGTTGATTGTTAGTTTTCTATCAAGTTTTGGTCTGTGATCCTCTGAAATTCTTTCCCTAATTAACTGGCGATTATAAAGTTATAATATTATCTTCCCTTCATTATATTTATTTGATATTACAAGTCTCTGTTACTGACTTACTGTAAAAGAGGCAACCTTCGATCTTTCGAACATTATCAACCTGAATAGCTGCCTCCCTTGCATTTATTTGCCGCCAAAATAAGGTATCATAAGGTTTTCTTACCATAAAGATTACGGTCGGAGTTGATATCGTGTGCCAGATTCACGGTAGGCATATTTATGACGAAGCCTTTAATGCTGGCTCCCTTAACATACGACCCACAATTTCTTTGGGCCGAAGTGACACAAAACAGGAAACCCCAAAAAACAAAAACCATCTCATGAACAATAGGAATTATTGATTATTTTTTCCTTTAAAATCACGCCGAATTTATCATAGTAAGCCAATTATTTATGAAAAGGGGAAAAAATTATATATTGATTTATGGATAGCCATACGTTGTTACTTCCAGGGTGAGGCACCAATAAAAAAAAAAAGGACTCAAAGTATTAATTTTAAATGTTGACAGTCCACTTAATAATAAGACGCATAATGCAGTATATAAAACTTGTGACAATATAAACGTTGAATATCTCTTATCTCATGATCCATAAACATAGATTGCACCACGCTTTAGTTGATAAATAATAAGAATTGTATAGACCAACGTTTAAACCCCGTTAAAATAAAACTAGATAATCAGAGGAGCCAATCTTGTGTACAAGGGATCACCGCCTCAAAGGCCCAACATGTCCACATATATGATCATTATCATGCACGTTGACAGTCATTTTTGATAGTATGATACTACTTCTAATTCTAAATATAAGACCTCGTAGGCAGTACATTGTTATTTGTCAAGAAGATGCCATCACCATCCCTTTCCCTCGAATCCAATTCTGGTAAATATTCCTGACTGGCTCAACAATCAGGTTTCCGTGCGATACAGATATGACACATCATTAAGATGTCCATTTTTTACCAGCTTAGTTCACTCAAAAGGTATGACATAACAATACATTGAAAGGAAAACTCGTCCTAATTTTGATCTTTCCAGTTGCATGCCACAAGGCAATCAAGCATGATTCAATCATAATTCATCTTTTGGAGGCGCTTGAAAACATTGCTCATCCCAGTAGTAAGGAAATTTCAATCTTGCTGCAGTATGAGGCATGAACCAGTCCTCATAGATAAACCTAGACAAGAGTCAAAACACTCAAAGAAAATAAGTAAGAAAAACGGGGAACAGGGAAGGAATCAAATAAACAAAAACATCTCCATCATAACACCGTAATTCAATTTAACGATGTGCCACCTAAATTCCACATATCATACAAGAGATGAGTTTTAATGCGACATAAAAAGGCCGAAACTATAAAGAAATTTTGAACTGAGTCTCCAACTAACTGACATTTCTCATTAAAAATTCGCACTACTATGTCATGGTCCACTCCAAAATAGAAACCATTACGGGATGCACGGTGATCAAGATGCAGTTAAACCAGAGAATAGTTTACCTAACATGATTCCTTAAGAAGGAATGAAAGAAAAATTTTTAAACATCCCCCCTCCCGGGGAAGAAGCATCTGCTTTCCTTGCCTAAAAGAATAGTAATTGACAAATGGAAGGAACGCAAAGACATGCAGCTTTCATTTGGCAAACTTTGAACTAGTGTCTCCACAGACACTAGGTAGCTTAAAGCACGTTATACAATTAGACAGATGAAAATGGCTCATAACAGATACGATCCTCGTTCCAAGCCATGCCTTGGTCAACTCTTTGGGTAAGCAAAACCAAACAGCTACAAGAAAATTAAGTTACAGCATAAACAAGAAGCATATAAAATAAGGGGTAATAGAGGTTACGTACACTTTAATTGGCGGTCTTGATATGATAACAAGCACTTGTAAATCTTCATGATCATTGGTATTCCATAACTGCAATGCAGATCATCTTTAATAGCCCAAAAATTTGTAGAATTTGTCCACTCTTCCGCACCCCCCGGGAAAAAACCCCAACTAAACCCCCCCAACCAAAAAAAAAAGGGGTGTGCTTCCCATTTTGTTAAGATGAGCAAGCAACATTGAGAGTTGACATCACATTAGTTATTGGCATTATAACTTGATAGGCATAAACGAAACAAAGCAAAATTGAGCATGAAAACTCTCACCCTATTTTATCAGATGTATACCTGATGAGCATCATTAACTGGAATATGAAACGTGCTATTTGGAAAGACAAAGTGCTCCTGTGGCTTCCCTGGGTATCTTTCGTAAGAATTTGTTGCAAGATAGAGAGTGCCACTCCCTTTAAGGACAATGAAAACTTCTTCACAGGAATGCCTGTGAATTGGAGTGCGTGATCCTGGTGAAAATGTTTGAAGCCACACCTCAACCTGTTTTAAACCAGATGATTTTTTGAAAGTAAATGGCATATTACCAATAAGAAATTGACTGGTCATGACTATGATTTTTCATTCTTTTTTTCCTTCGCTGTTCAAAAATATGAACAATATGATTACACCATCTCAATCTTTTTTATTTTAATAAATAGGAGATATAAGTTATCATTATCACAAAGCCGGTTCTCCAGTTAACATTTTCTGCAATGATGATCATAACTTGGGGCATTTTCTTAACACTCACTGTTATTGTAAGAACTTTTATCATTCTGATGATATTTTTGATCTAATCTTTTTTTGGCCAAATTTTTTTTTATCTAATCAAAATATAAGCAAGTTTAATATATCTAAAGAAAATGAAAATGATCAATTATATTATGAGGACCACCTCTCTCATTCCATGCATGACTGAACCTGCAATAGTTATGTGAGAAAGACCCGCCCTTCCATAGTTATCCTCAGGAATCTCACTGATATTTCTTACAAGTGGTAACCCTGCGTATTCGTATATTAAGAAAGCAAAGAATAATTAATTATACATTGTGAAAGTAAGATTTTGACAAAAACTGACATTCATCAGCACAGACCCTATCCTTGAAATTTCAAAACACTAAGCTGCTCATGCTTCTTGTAGTTCCGGTAAATGGGAACATTCTATCAAATTTAACACATAATCTACACAAGAATATGCACTTGAGAACCAGCGCTGAGGATTCTGCCCAACGGCTCAGTAGCAGGACGGGGGTATATTTACCATTGATTTATCATGAATAAGTTTACCAATGAAACAAAAAAGAATAAGTTCGCCCGTAATCAGATACCCATTCCAGTAACAAAAGTAAAAGTACAGACGAAGAAACTCATAGATTGGATGCCTTTTGCCGATTGAACATGTTAAGGTCACCAGACAAAATGTTTAAGTAACGGGGGGAACAATCGTCGAACACAAACTATTCGAAGCAGAATGAGGAAGAGCTACTGCCAACATTGACGCATCACATCAAAGCAGTACAGATGCAAGAAGGAGCATTCGCAGACGAAGAAAATTAGCTTCCCATGCTTATTCAGAAATTTAAAATACGGAAAGGCAAAGGACCGAAGAAGTGATTAAATTAAGAGCTTAGGACTCATAAGCATACTAGCCTGTGATAGAGCAATGGGAGGCAAGAGCGATTGCAGAAAAAGCGAAGAAGCTGACGAAGAAGGCGACAGAGCACCCAGCCATCTTCCAACAAATTCTGGGGACCGCGGAAGAAATGCCAACCGCCTCAGTCGCAAGGGGTGGGTGACACGTGACTTGCACGGGACCTTGATTCTTCCCATTACTTTTTTTTTGGGCCAATATGATTCGTCCAATTACAAAGATCTCATGGGCTTATGGGATAACGTCAGTGCGCGCACGGGCCCTGGGAGAAATCCACGTCCACCATTTTTGTGGCCACGGCGGCAATCAGTTGTTTGTAGATTTACAATAAATTATATTACTTTTTTGAAAATACTTTTTTTGGCCAAAATTTAAAATTACTCTCATTGAAATCGGTGATTTTCAATGTTAAAAGAGGACCAACAATTACTTCTAAAATTACCATTTTTAAAAAATTCATCAATTGCATTAATTAATCTCTCTGCTTTAGCCATGCTTTATTATTTTCTTAAAGTAGCCAAATGCATTTCTTACATAAAATTAAAGAAATATATTGAAAGCGTAAAATAGTTAAGCACGATTTACTAGGTATTAAGGGTAAAACAAACATTATTATGCCTGTTATGTTTTTTTTTTTCAAGTGACTTATATAAAGAACGAACAAAATTTTTTACAATGCTCTTCTTCCCCTTTTTTTGTAAAAAAAAATCTTTGCCCTCCATGAATTCCTTCTCTTTTTTATTTGCCATTGCATTACATTCTCTCCATCCACATAAACTGTGAGACCCCTCCCCCCGCGCCCCACCAGGACTCAAGATGGCGAACTGTAGAATGTCAAAATTATTAAAGGCTATATCATTCTGTCATTTGACAGGTATCACGTTTACGAGATCTTGCTTTCCTAGGAGACGATATTATGAATTCATCATCACTGCGAGTAGTATACAAATGTGATTCAAGAGAAAGTTGCTACGCAAAATATCTGAGGTCTGAATGGTAGCCACCACGTTGATTTCCCTAATCCGTTCTCTGCAGCCATCCAAACTGCAGGAAGAGGTGTATTAGTAAAGAGGAAATGGACCTAATAAATACTTAGGCTTGAATAAATTAGGTGACATTTGTACCTTCCACGCATACATTCCAAAGAAAGCTATCGTGTCTGCAGTCCAAACAACGGCAAAGGACTTCCAAAAGAATGGGATTGCAACATTGAGCAATGGGATTAGAAGAAACAGATAGTTCAGCGCTTCTTTCTCATTTTTTGAACAGTCTCGAGCTCTTAGTGAAGGGATTGCTGCAAGTTTAAAGAGTCATGATTATCTTCTGACCCCATACAAAAACGAGTCACAACTATAATATACATTTTTGCACCAGATCAAGGAAACATGACCAACATTTTGCATGAATTGCGGATCGTAATGGCATGTAGTATCAGATTTTGCTGCGTGATGCAGGGAAATTGGACTTCAAGCTAGAACAACTCAATGTTTCTCAGAAATACGCAACCTAAAGAAGTTTCCGAAAATTTTCACTGACGACTGAAAAATTTCCTTTCCTTTTCTTTTTCGTTTTTTTTTTTGGGCTGAACTGAAAGTTTCTATTAAGACTGACAATGGCATGAGTGAACTTACTAAACATCCAAATAGACCACATTCCCATTAACCTCCAGATATCTGGTTCATTTGATGGGAATAAGAGGTTAAAGGACAAAGCTCCACCTAACAACATTGAGGCATACCCTTGAACCTCAAAAACAGTATACAAGGCAGTTCCAGGGACGGCAGGATTCTTTGAGGCCGTGGAAGCCCTTGGTGCAAAAGTTGAGGCAGTCTTTTGAACAACCTGTCGTGCAAATAGAGATAAAATTCAGTCTACAATGTCTAGTAACCAATATCTTCAGTTCTTCTCAGTCCCAGGAATTTGCACAACGTTTCAGGGGAAAGGCATGCACTATCCACAATTGACTAGAGCCTAGTGATTTACGCGGAAAGCAGATGAACAATCACCAGGGAATCCACCAAAACCGCGACAACTTGCAGAGCGATATTTTGTATCAGGGGTTAATTTTTCACGGAAACAAAGGGAGTGCCTTCAGTATACCTTAAATTTACATCCCTGTTACTCGAATAGAAGTGAGGCTTCCGATTTCAAAATCAGACATAATGGATTAAATAAAAAAAACTTCGGTCCAAGTACCCAGTCTTAATACGATCCAGACCGAAGTACGAACTCTTAGAATGCATTAAAAAAATTACTGATACGAAGTGGAAATTCCGAAAATCGAAATAAATTGCGCATGAGGGGTTGTCCGGGGAGCAAAACTAGCCTTTTTAATATCCTTGTCGATAGAAGCAGAAGAGGCGGGTCGACTGGAGACCGTGCTTTCCACGGTGGATTCCGCTTTTAGCTCTTCCGACAGCTGCTCACCAACCGCTTGTGTGTTTGTTTCATCCGAAGTTGCCCGGGGAGATACCTTGTAGCGTACTACAGAGCGTGACAAGTTGGTTCTGTCGAGTGCAGGGATGGAATGGAACCCCGACAACTTTATGTTCGCAAGAACCGGAGAAGCCACATGGAGACCCGAGGCATGACAGCTGCCAGGAGGCGTTGAGATTGACAAGCTCATTTTGTCCGAAATCCCCTGGGCCTTCAGCTTTCCATCGGAAACTGGAACTCGGAAGAATTGAGATGAGAGGGATAAGGAATTGTGAGGCGGAGAACCGAGCTGGGGTTATGCCCAACGACGACGTTTTAGCTGTCCAGGTAAGTCCATAGTCCGAACCATCTGTGTTCATCTATTCTGGATGACACATTGACGTGGGCTTCTTCTCGTGTTTTTCTCTCTCTCTCTTTTTTTTTTGGAGCTGAATGGCTTCTTCTCGTTGCTAAGGACAAGGGCTTGTTAAACTGCTTAGCTTTTAAAATTTGATGGAAGATCGTCGTAGTATTTCACTTGTTTGCAAAAACGTCCTTTGCCAAGTGTAATATTAATTTGAATATATTAAAAAATTAGTTAAGTTAATTATTTATAATAAATAAGTATTATCTTTTCTAAAATATCATTGCTAACTAAATATATTGGCTAAAATTATTATTATTATAGAGATTACTTTAGGAAATAATAAATAAATATAAAAGACAAAATGAATTAAGATTTTATATTTAGAATTAGAATAAAAATTAAATAAATTCTTACATTAAGAATTAAAGGTACAGTAATTAAGTGCATGTTTTGCTCCGTGGAAAAAATAAAAGAAGCCAAGTGCATGTTTTGTCACATCAAATTTTGATTTAGTGACCGCAAATATAAAACGATGGGGAGAGATGGAACGTGGCAGAAGTCTAGAAGATAAGTAAATGATTAAGATGCCCTTGTAATATGGCATTACTCCTTCCGTCCGTGGAGTTTATCATCTTTGAACCTATCTTTTAAAAAGCCTTTGGACAACACCTGGATGTCGGTGACGACGAACCGACTCGTAGGGACGCAACAACGACGGGTGGAATGTAGCCAGCGAAAGAGGCCCCCGCTTGTTCTCAGGTCTGCGGAGGAGACGGAGTGAGGCATGGGACGAACGATGGAGGAGAGATTGGCTGTATGATTGGGCTAGAGAGGAGAGAGAAGTGGGCCTAAGATTTAAAAAATATATATATCAAAAGGTGTGAAAAAAAAGAAAAATTTTAAATAAATGATTGTTGAATTTTAAAATTTCAAATCAGTACTGATTACTAAATTCGTAAAGAAAATAACTGAATTCAAAAAGCAAATAACAACACATTTTATAGTAATTCTTAATTTGAAATTTTAAAATTCAACAGTCATTTATTGAGATTTTTAAAAAAATAAAATTATATCCTTTTTGTATTAAAAAGTATACATGAGTTGGGTTCATAAGCCCATAATAAAAACATGTACTCCACCGATCCTAAATATAAGACCCTTATACACAGTACTAATATATATAAGGGTATTATATTTAGTACCGGAGGAGTATTTAAGTTTACATTAAATATTCACAGACTGTTTATCAATGAATTAAGAGTCGATTTATTACTAATTAGACTAAAAAGGTGTTTGGATGGAAACTAAAGTATAATTTTAAAAGTAATTTTACGGCATACAGAATAAATATATAAAGGAATTTATCTTGATTTATAAAAAAATATTTTTAAAAAGTACTTTTGGAGAAATCTAAATACCCTTTAAGTCTTACTGGGAAGATAAAATATCTGGGAAGGGGATAGTTTGGGGATCATCTTAGCCCAGTGCTAAGCCGAAAGTTTGGTAGCCAGCCTTGATGACTCGATGGCAAGGTGAGATCTGGTCTTAGCCTAAGAAGTAATTTTAAAAACATTGAAAATTATGAAAAAGTTCTATCCGTAAAAAGAAAAAACTGTCACAATTTAAAACACACGCTGCTAAAAAGTAATATTGAAATAAAAATTAATATTTTTGAAATCATATGCACAGGCAATAATTATTCTTTATTTTTGCGTAATAATTAAAAAATCAATACGTTATATAAGAAATATTAATAGAATTTATACAATAAAATGATCAATATGAACAAAAGAATAATCATTTAAAAAAATATATTATACAGGTTATGCCGGGCTCGGTTTCCTTCTGCAGTCCACCGGCCCAAGTAAACCTGTAAATCCCTTCTCCGGGAAAAATAAATAAATCTGCCAGGGTGGGCGGAAACGCGGCCCTTTAATTTATCTATATAAAAATATAGGGTTATGGTGCGCTCAGCACCCCGAACTATTTTTCCAGGTGCATCAAGTGTTTTAAAATAAGTTTTTGTGCATCCAGTGTCCCAAACTAATTAAAACAGTGCATCCAGTGTTCCAAACTAATTAAAACGGTGCATCCATATCCCGGGCTAACAGAAAAGTTAAGTTTGACCTTTAGTTGACCGAAAAATCTGATGTGGTGGACACGTAGGCATCTGATGTGTATTATCTTGACGAGTTAAGGTGCGCCCAGCACCCTAAACTATTTTCCCAGGTGCGTCCAGTGTCATAAAGTAATTTTTGGTGCATCCAGTGTCTCAAACTAATTAAAACAGTGCGTCCACGTCCCAAGCTAACAGAAAAGTCTCGTTTGACCGTCACCTTATTGATTCAGCTGAAGGTTGATCAAAAAATCCTACATAGCGGACACACAGGCATCTAATGTGTATTATTTTGACTGAAAATTCAATTTATTTCCTCCGCTTCTAACATTTATCTTCTACCAGTTTTTAAACTTAAAAAAAAGAAAGACTACCGATCTACCCTCTACATGTACCACCCATTCAATCCCGTCCTCGTCTTTAACATTTTATCCCATCTTTTCCACCACTCCGATTTGAAACCACAACTGCTGTCACAGGCTCACAGCACACTTCCATCTTCATCTCTGTCGACTCCTCATCCGACTCGCATTTGCTTTCCTCCTCGCAGAACACAGTAAACTTTCCCTTAGTCACTCCATCGACATCATCGTCGCCTTTTGAGAAAACACCCGCCGTCACGGGGCTCGTCTCGAGAGCTTTAGTCAAAATAATACACATCAGATAGGATTTTTCGGTCAGCCTTCAGTTGAATAAGCAAGATAACGGTTAAACGAGACTTTTCTGTTAGCCTAGGATGTGGATGCACTGTTTTAATTAGTTTGGAACACTGGATGCACCAAAAATTACTTTAAGATACTGGCTGCACCTGGAAAAATAGTTCAGGGTGCTGGGCGCACCTTAACTCGTCAAGATAATACACATCAGATGCCTACGTGTCCGCCACGTCAGATTTTTCGGTCAACTAACAGTCAAACTTAAGCCCGGGATATTGATGCACCATTTTAATTAGTTTGATACATTGGATGCATCAAAAATTACTTTAGGACACTGAATGCACTTGAAAAAATAGTTCAGGGTGCTGGGTGCACCTTAACCCAAAAATATATATATTTTTTATAACACTTCAATCTATAATCATTTAGTCGTCGTATATACGTTAACGCTCCTCTGGCTTCTGGCCCAAAAAAAAAAAAATCTACTCTGGCCGTGGGCCAACGAAAAAGTCGTCACCCGCACGCTACTGTGGCCTGAGCGATTGGCACAACGCACAACGTAACAGAACACATGCCATATTTCTCCTATGCTTCAACAAGAGTGACTTGCAGTTGCAGACTCTGTTTTTCCTGGTTGTTCGTTAAACCTCTAAATTCAAGACTGCTTGAGAGCTGATAGGGATTACATTTCCCCGTAATTACGCGCATGACCACATTTTGTTTTTCCTTTCTTTTTGCGGCGAAGAAAAGAGGTAATCCACTTCTGGATTTTGCGACTGCGAGTTGGTAGTTTCCGGCGAGTTTGTTTTGCGTCGGGAAATACGTTTCTTCTCGATTCGGGAGCAGATTGAACGTCCTTTTCCTTTCTTATTGTCTCGATGCTGATGGATTTGAAGTGATTGTGTGTTGCCTCCAATGGGAAAATTTCTTGGTGGTTTCGTACTGCCTGTGCTTCTTTTAGCTGGTAAAATTGTAATTTTATTTTTCCAGAAATTTCTTTTTCCATTTTATCCCTAATTTGAACTATTTCGATGTGTTAGTGACTAGATGATACTAATTGAAGTGGTTGAACTGGGTAGCTTGGGGACTATCAAATCTAAGGTTTTGCTGGGTATAGTTTTGAACATGACTGTTGAATTCGGGTTGTTTTATTGGCTGACATTTCTTTATAGCTTCCATAGCTGATAGGCTTGTGTGAAGGAAAAAAATAAGCCAGTCTAAAAAAGTATATGCATCATATGAGTGGTACACCAGATATTGTTCATTATTATGGAGCTTGAGTTGCGGGATAAATACTGTGGTTGGATTTCTGGTTGAAATCAAATTTTGTCCCTACGGGAGCCAATATTTCCTACATGTACAGACCCATAATATCCTATCGGTGAATCGATATAGATAGATAATAAAAAAGTTGGAGGGAGCTGATTTTGTCGCTCAGTTTGTGTTCCGTCCAAATACATGAGGTCAGCTTTAGTTCAATTGATTTCCGAAAAGAAAAATGTGGAGTTGAGTCCTTTGATTTGTGTAAAATTGTCACCTCGAACCATAGTGTGCTCCTTGTAGAAATTTAATATATTTTCTGGTCATTTTTTGGGGGGTATATCTTATGATGATTGCATCTTAAGATTTGTCGCTCCTTAAACAAGAACCATGGTGGAAAATTAAAGTTAAGAGTGAGTAGGCAATAGCTATTGCTATGTAAGGGTCTGCTGACCCATGCTGTGTGATTTCCTATGATAATTTTAATGTTTAGAGTGAACAATATAAGCTTTTTATGTATTTTTGAACTGTTTTTAACCGCCTTTCACATTGTTATATGGACACACATTGATATTTACTCAATCAATGAAGCATGCGTTGACTTTTATATGCTCTTCTTTTCTGCAGCTGCTCTAATAAACTGGAGCTTGATTTCTCTTGTTGATTTGATAGCTTTTCTTATCATTCAATATAATGCACCAAAAATAGGTATGTATCTATTTCCCTTTGCATTTGAAGGTATCAATGTGCAAGCTGCAAATGTGATTTTTATCAGCAATATGCAAATCACATGTCCGTTCTGGGGATTCTTTTATTACTTGGTTTGGCCTGGGGTGGGGACAGGGTGTGGTTGTGAAAGTGATGTCACACATATAACTAGGAACACAAGTGCAAAGCTCTCATATTTCTCTCTTT